CCTAAATAAGGAACGAAATACAAAAATACAAGAAACTAAGAATACTGGGCCCACATGGCCCAGGACCATGACATACTGTGTTTGTGTCGATTTTGAGTTGACAGGAATCTGATGGAGAGAACAAACACAATCCAGTCGTAGTTACTGATCCATCATCTGGTCATTGATTGACACTGATTGACACATTTTGGAGATGTTAGCTCTTTATACAATAAAGTTACAGTGGGATACAAATAACATCAGGCTGATCCTGCCACAATTTGTTCTCCGGTTCAAATCACGGACAAACAGGATCCCACAGTTGTTTATGTTTTTAAACCCATTTTGCACAGAGAGGCATTTTTTGAAACATGCATTGATAGCAATGTTGAATATTATTACACATGAAAAAACACAACTAGACGTAAAATAATCACACCGTGACACCTCTGCCTTTTTAAATGGAGGGACAGTAACTGCATGTTTATATGTAAGCTGTAAAACCTGCAGATAGTCAGATTAACAGTATTTTGTCTCTATCTGCCATTCTGAAATTCATCTCATGTAAACAATAACGTGGCGCACAGCATGACGTGAAAAAAAGGCACATACCTTTGACGTTGGGTGATGAACTCTGTATTCCTCGTCTACACGTAAACGCAAAAAATTAGTTTAAAAAAAATCTCAGTTTTCGGTGATTCGAAACGCCGTTTACGTGTGGACAAAACAGCTGCGTTTTCAAAAATACCCGTGTAGGTGTGAACAGAGCGTAAAAGAGTTAGTAGTTTACAAGGTTATTATTGTTAACGAAAACTAGATGTGAAAAAACATTTTCGTTAACGGAAATAAAATTTAAAAAAAGGAAAACTAACTAAAACTGTAATGAGTGTTCACAAAACTAACTAAAATTAACTGAATTTATAGCAAAAATGTGTTTAGTTTTCATTGATGTGTGCGTGTCATACAATAGTCAAGGGTGAAAATGAAGTTTAGTTTACAGATTTTTTTCTTGCTGTCTAATTATGCCAGCAGGTGGCAGTACGTTAGTCGAGTCGTCTGTGTTGCTGCTCCGTCCACGTGCAGAATCGTGTCAGGAAAAGTCGGGAGAAAGCGCCAGAGTCCAGTTTGGGATTACTTTGAATATGACTGTGTTTTGGATAAAGCAAGTGTCTTGTAGTGGAAAGAGACAAATTATGAGGGACATTTCTAAAGGGAAAAAAATCCCACAAACCTCAAAGTGCACTTGAAAAGCTCACACAAGAAGGCTAACCTAGCTTACCTTGAGAAGGTAAGGGAGCACACTCAACCCTCATCCCCAGAAACAGAAGCTAACCCCAGACAAGGCAGCGTGATGCATCCCGAGACAACAGGACTGGGCCATCTACATAACTGTGTGAGTCAATTGCCTTCAAAAAGTTTATCAATTCACTTGAACCAAAATTACGAACACCCAGTGCTACAAGAGTTAATAGTCTCATTGGGGCCAAGATATACATTTTATAGTTGCCTGGTATCAATGGTTGTTCATCTGCCTTTATTTATTTATTTATTTATTTATTTATTTATTTAAAGAACCCATAGGTGGGAATGTGAGTTGTCTGTCTCTGCGTGTTAGCCCTGCGACAGACAGGTGACCTGTCCAGGGTGCAGGGTATGGTAGCTGGAATGGCAACATACCCAAGGATAAGCAGAAGAGAATGACTGATATGATGAAACGGGATTTTGTTAGACTTAATTATTGCAAACACAACTAAAACTATAACTGAAACTAATCAAAACTAAACTGAAACTAAGGATTTTCAAAAAAATTAAAACTAAACTAAACTAGCAAACAATTGGTAACAACTAAAACCTGGTAGTTTATTTTCTTACTACCTGTAATTTATTCCAGATTACTTGTATTTGTTTAATTGTTTACTAAATGTTTGAGGTGTGAAAGAAACCGCAATGGAGCAAAATGTGGGTGTGTGTGGTTGGAGGATGTGTTTGTGCGTGCGCGTGCACGTGCGAGAAGAGTGGGGGCGCGCGAACATTTTTCTTGTAAAACAAAGGGGAGCCTAGCAAAAAAAGTTTGGGAGCCACTGCTTTAATCATTAAAATGTCTTAAATGATTAAAATGAAGTAAGACAAAGTAAAGCAATTCACCATATTTTAGACAGTAGAGATAAGTAAACATGTTACATTTTCAGATAAAAAGTTATTCTGTGTTATAATGTCTAATATGCTCACTGACTCAACTTTTTTTTAGTATTTACCATTACTTTCATACCTAGTGCTTCATTTATAAACATTTTAGATTGTGTATTCTCAAATACTCAAATCCTAAATTGGGTAAGTTGAAACTGAAGCTCCCCCATAAATCTATTGGAATAAAAAGTGTAGCCTTCACCTCTAGGTTATAAAGTTTCATAAAGAAAAATTATTTCAAGCTTCAATGCTGAACTTGAGTAAATGTGATGAGTTAAATTCCATCACTTCCAACAAACACTTGGAGCAACACAACAAGAACACAGAGAGAGGTGAAGTGAGTGAAGTGGATCAGGTTTTCACCACTGTCAAACACACTGTCATCTATCGGACAAGTGAAGTCTAAATCACTATCAGTGCCTGGCGAGGTGAAGGTAACAAAGCCTGGTGATTTGCCGGTGATGGTGTCGCTGATCCATTTCTGGTACTGGGACACACGAGTGTAGATCCCAGGTCTCATAGGCTCAGCACAGCCATAACCAAAGCTCACAACTCCACTTTGGACCCAGACTGATTCTTTCTTTGTCATAAGTGGTCCCCCGGAGTCTCCCTGTAAAAAGAAATTGATAAAAGTTCAGACAGATAGGCGTCCTGTAGAAGTCCTGACTTGTCTCAGTAAGATCAATCCTGGTGAAGTATGGATCGTGTCAACATGAAACAGATTATTTGCATGTCTGAGTAAGAGGCCATGGTGCAGTAATGTAACAAGTAGTGTAACAAATGATTTCTACATGAATTAATGAAGTAACATGATGCATTACTTCCTTAAAAAGTAACTAGCAGCATTTGTTGTATTAACATCCCACTCTATCTTGTAAACAAACAGTGGGTGTTACCTGACATGAATCCTTCCCTCCAGCTTTTAACCCAGCACAGATCATGTTCTCTGTGATCTCACTGAAGTCTTGATAGTAGCATTTGCACTCGTTGCTTCCCACTATTGGTACATTCACCTCCTGCAGGATGTTGGAAAGTGAACCATCACCTAATTGGAAAAAATTCAAATGCAAGAGCTTTTATTAAAGAAGCCAGCACCATCTTCTTCTCCCTCCACTGTGGATCATCTGCCTCAGTCTCGTGCTATTCTTAGCATTCTTTCCTGCTATGTCCTCCTCTACACCCATGAAGCTCTTTTGTGGTCTTGCTCTTTTCTCTCCTGCATGGCAGCTCCATATATTCAATACCCTTTGTCCACCATGTTCCCTCTTGTGCACCTCTTCTCCACTGTATAAACCATATGTCTAACTATGTCTCCAAACCGCTCAACCTGAGCTGTCCCTCTGATGGTCTCATGAATGAAAATCGAAACATCTTTAGCTCAGTATGTCTATGAAGGTTCTCAGTCATCCAGGTCATCATAGTCTAAGGAACGTGGAGACAAGCGTCTGGACTTCTTTAAGTTGCTTGAAGAGGTTTCACCTCTCATTCAAGAAGCTTCTTCAGTTCTAAGGTCAAATGATTGAGAGTCCCAGATTTAAGCCTTGTGGGAGTGACCCCTCAAGAGTGTCCCCCCTTGGCTCATGTGATTAGATAGAGGATCATTAGGGGGTCCATTGTCCCTCTTGGGGGGGCACTGCCACAGGGCTTAAATTTGGGACTCTAGAACTGAAGAAGCTTTTCGGATGAGAGTTGAAACGTCTTCAAGCCACTTAAAGGAGTCCAGATGCTTTTCTTTACAAGCTCCTTAGACATCTTTAGCTCAGCTTCATGTCTTCTTGTTAGAGCCACCTTCTCCAAAATGTACATCATACTATTCACTATTCTTTTTGAACCTTGATAAAGTAAGTAAAGTAAAATAAATTAAATTTTTTGTAACTTACTTGCCGTACTACCAAAACCAGTGACCCAGCTGCTGGTCCCACTGTAGAAAGTGCTGTTTTCAGAGGCTAAACAGATGGGTTGAATGTAGTCTGTGAAATTCACTGGAGCCGACAGCTTCAGGAGGCATATGTCGTTCTCAATTGTTAAAGGGTTGTACTTGGGATGGCAAACAATGTTTTCAAGTGTCTGTGTCACCTCATTTGGGTTTAAACCTGACTGGCTGTGGCGACCCAGATGGACCTTTGTGAAGGAGAGTTCAAGTCTTGACAAAACGGAAAAAAAACCGGAAAAAAATATATAGTTATTTTCATAGCATCTTATGTTGACCATTATAACAGTCACCATAGTAACAAATGCAGTAATATAT